TATGCTGATGACATGATAGTATACTTAGAAAACCAAAAAAAAAAATAAAAAATACTTTTGTTAGTACGTATCATAGATTTGTTAATATTGTCCTAATACAGCCAGAGTCACTTTAACTTCTGCCTGGATGAAGCTTATCTAACACATATATTTTCTACATTAAGTCAATTAACAGCCTTCTTGCCCTATGAAACCTTGAAGTAGACATCACTTTAACACTGTGTTTGGAAGCATTTAAAACAGGAAAACTATAAAAAAAGTACAAAGTGCTCAAAATTGGACAGTAAATTGTGAAAGGACATTTGGTTACAGTGTAAGTAAAAGCTGAAACAAGATAACAGGGTATTGCTTTGTGAACCTCACCTGAAAATGTGTTTGTTAGGGGACTCAGAGTTTTCTCTTTAGATATAATTTTGGTGAGGATGTTAAATGAGGGAGTGAAGTGAGTCAGATTAAATTTTTATCCTTTTGGACAGAGACTAAAAAACAGAAAATGGTTACAGAGAAATACAGTCACTCCTCATTGTTTGCAGGGAACTCTGGTGGCTTAATGGTAAGGAGTTAAACTGCCGGTATGTAGTCTAAATCCACCAGCTTCTCTGTGGGAGAAAAACGGACCATCTCCTCTCATGAATTTAACTACCTCTGAAAACTTATGAAAGTGTTAGCTATGGTTGGATTCTGACTTGATGGTACACAACAACATTATTTGCAAATCTTGTAGGTATGAATTTACCTATTTAAAATTTATTTGTGATTTCCCAAATAAGTGCCCGTGGCACGATTTCAGTCTATTGCAAATATGCAAAGAAGAAAGAAAAATAAGTTTTCACTTTTAAAAAATATTTATTGTCCTTTGTTCTTTAACAAGTGGCCAAGTTTTTATTAATAATAACAATACATTGACAGAGAACTGTCAGAAATACAAGCTGGGTTTATTGCCAATGTCAGGTATATCTTGGCAGAAAGCAGAATGTACCAGAAGAACGTCTATCTGTGTTTCATTGATAATGCAAAGGCACTTGTTTGTGTGAATCACAACAAATTGTGGCTAACCTTAAGGAAAATGAGAATCCCAGAATACTTGATTGTGCTTATGCAAAACCTATACTTGGACCAAGAAGCAGTCCTCAGAACAGAGCAAGGAAACACTGCATGGTTCAAAATCAGGAAAGGAGTGTGTCAGGAATGCATCCTGTCCCCATACCTTTTCAATCTGTATGCAGAACGGATCATTTGGGAAGCAGGGCTTTATGAGGAGGAGTGTGGCATCCAGATTGGAGGAAGACTTATCAACAACCTGTGATAGACAGATGACACAACTTGCTTGCTGAGACGGAAGGATGCCTGAAGCACTTGCTACAAAAGGTCAAGGACTATAGTCTTCAATATGGATTGAAGCTCAACATCAAGAAGACAAAGATTTTTACCACTGGACCAATTGGCAGCACCATATTATATGGAGAAGAGATTGAGGTTGTTCTCAATTATAGCTTGCTCGGATCACAATCAACACTTTTCACACCAGCAATCAGGAAATCAAAAGACAAATTTTATAGGGAAAATCTGCTGTCATGGACCGCTCCAGAGTGTTGAAGAGCATTGATGTCAGTCTAGAGACAAAGGTACATCTAAGCCAGGCCGTCGTCTTCTTAATTACTTGCTATGCTTCAGAGAGCTGGAAAATGACAAAGTATGACAGAAGAAGAATAGGTGCCTTTGAGTTATGCTGGAGAAGAATCTCAAACATACCATGGACTGCCAAGAAAACAAATCAGTCTGTCTTGGAGAGGGTGAAACCACGTCTCCTCTTTGAGGCTAGGATTTTGAAGCTCTGGCTCACATATTTCGGGCACATGACCGAGAGAGACTGGTCCTTGGATAAGGACATCATGCTTGGAAGGGAGATGGAACAGCTAAAGGAGAGGAAGTCCTTGGATGAGACGGATTGATACAGTATCTGGGGCAATGGGTGTTGGTGTGTTGGAATTAGTGAGACTGGCTCAGGACAGGGAAGAGTTCAGAAGTGCTGTACATAGATAGTTGCAGGCAACTCAATGGCACATAAGAACAACATACTATATTGGTTTTTTATTTAAGCCTTTTGTTTAGAATCAACAAGACCTCGGGGAGGGCCTTTGTATTTAAAGTTAATTGTTGTTATATTTTGGAGGAACATTCCTTTAAGTGGTACAGCACTTTTCTATCAGTTTGCTGTACTGAGGTAACCTGTGATTGCTGTGATGCTGAACCTTGTGTCATTGGGATGTCTAATGCCGTAACGGTTACCCATGGTGGACAGTGTTTGGTGGAACTCCCAGTTTAAGACAGATTTGGAAGCAGGAGTGACATCCGTTTCCTAAACAACATGCTTCTGGAAACTCTAAGAACTTAAATAAATGTCAGTAATTATAGAAAGGCTTCAAGTCTTTTGTTTATAGGGTCGCTGTGAGTCGTGCTTGACTTGCTGGCAATCAACAACAAGAACACGACTATTGGTTTTCTGTGTGTAAACTCCAGTAATTTAAACTACATGATTTTGTGTATTCTAGAATGTTGAATATGAAAGAATTGTTATTTATAATGTGAAAAAAATTTATTTAGCATTATTAAATTTGAGGTAAATAACTATATGTATAATTTAGCAAATAGAAGAAGTAGAGCATAATTTAGCAAACCCAGTATGTGTGTAGTTTAAAAAAAAGAAACATGGAAATTCATTGTTAATGGTAACAATAAAAGGAATGAATGATTCTAATTGAGTTCATTAGAAGCACTATAGAAACAAAAGTCACCTTGAATGTGGGGTGCTATTGATTATGCACATTATGTTAGTTGGTGTTTTCAAATCCCTCATGGTGATCCTACCCATTGTATTTGCTTTTGAAACCTATATTTTAAACTCTTTTCCTCTGCCACAGTAAATGTACACTCTCTAATAATTTCTTTCCTGTTTTTTAAATGCAGGTCAGACTGTTCTTCTCTCTCAGCCTATGGTACAGCTTCAGGCACCTGGAGTTCTGCCTTCTCCTCAGCCAGTCCTGGCTGTTGCTGGGGGAGCCACACAGCTACCTAATCACGTGGTGAATGTGGTCCCAGCAGCTCCTGTCTCAAACACCCCAGTGAATGGAAAACTTCCAGTGACTAAACCTGTCCTTCAGAGTACTATGAGAAGTGTGGGTTCTGATGTAAGTTTTGAGACTTAGTAATTTAAAAAAATACTTCCTCCCCCCTTTTCTTGGCCTCTTTTTTTTTTAAAGTATGTCACTGATGTGCCAGATGTGATAATGGTTACCCATGGTGAACAGTGTTTGGTGGAGCTTCCCGATTAAAACAAGCTTGGAAGCAGTAGTGGCATCCACTTCTGAAATGGCTTGCCTCCGGAGACTCTATGACAGTGCTCAAGCCTCTCATTCATAGGGTGGCTATGAGTTGTCTACGACTTGACAACACCTAACGACAACAACATGTCACATTAATAAAAGAGTGTGTTGAAATGGTATATCTAGTTTTGATGGAAAATTAGGAAATTATAATTTGAAATGAAAAGGCTTTAAAATTTCAGAAGCGGTTTGACAAAAAATGAGGTATGCATACATGTAGCCCTCTACTTCATTTCTCCTTTAGAACCCCCTTATTATCCCCTCAAGTCTTCTCCCCCAGTTGCCCACTAGTATTTTACAGATTTTTTTTCATGTTTTCTGATTGAAATATTTTTATCAGCTTCCCAGCTAAGAATCTATAAACTGCTTTTTAGACTGGGTTTATATTTAGCATTTCTCTGACTGAAAGATTTTCACCACTGTGTAATGATGACCTGCTACTCTTAGGAATTCTGTCTTCTAATAATTACTTGATTTTTCCCCACCTCTGTAAGCCTTCAAGTATTCTGCCATGTTGTATGAATTTCTTTTAATTTGTAAATCAGAGAGAATTTCCCGAGTTCTGTCATTCTATAAAACCACTTATGTATTTGTCAGTAAATTTTTACTGTCTTTTAAAGTGATTCAGAAACTTTATGATATGAATTAAACGTAACTGAACACTACAGTCCAAAGTTAAAGGCAAATAAACATTTAGTGCACTAAAATTTTGACTGAGATAGCAAAGCCTGCATGTTTTCTTTAAAGTAAAAGTTGATACCGTGTTTGCTAATGTGTTAACTCCATTTTTAGGTGTTGTAAAGTATTGTTTAGATCTTGTGAGTTTTGAAGAGTTACTTAACAGTCTGATATGTCTAATATATTAATCTGAACACCAGTGGCCCATTTAGTTGTAAAAATGTTCTGTTGTTTTAGACATACAACTAAGAAACTAAGAAATCTTAAGCAGAAATGTGTAAGACACCCATAAAAAAGAAATCTTATCCCAAAAAAGGAGAGTGTCCATGTTTTAGAATAATAAGCTGATAATTTTTTCAGATATTGCAAACAATGTCTGCCGAGACATAGAGATGGAAGAGGAATGTATTACGAGAATTTGAGATCATGGATAAACTTGACTATTGTATGAGTTTATTTTGAGGAGCTAAAAAGGCAAGTACAAGTAGTTATAATATGTTGATATAGGCCTTCTAGTTGATCTGACTCATAGCAACCCTACAGAACAGAGTAGGATGGACCTGTGGAGTTTCTTAGGCTTTAGTCTGAAAGGGAACCTACCACCTGCTCTTTTCTCCCATGGAATGGCTGGGGGCTGCAAACTACTGCCTGTTTGATCAGCAGCCAAGTGCTGAACTGTTCCACTAGCAATGTTCCTTGTTTATGACATAATAAATAGTAATACATGGTATGTTTCCAATTGTGGATGAAATGAGTATGATAATATGATTTGCTTTAAAATACTCAGATGGATGGAGGGTAAGGAGTGAACCCAGGATAGATGAAACAAATTTGGCAAAATGTTGCTAACCATTTAATTTGGATGTTGTTGTTGTTATGTGCCGTCGAGTCGTTTCCGACTCATAGCGACCCTATGCACAACAGCCCTAAACCCTGCTCTGTCCTGCGCCAAACGCACCGCCTCTGACACACCCATCCCGATTACCCCGGTGACCGAATCAATCCATCTCATAGAGGGTCTTCCCCTCCTGC